AGCTGCCCCGGAGGCGGGGGGAGGGGCACTGGGGGTAGCTGGGCCCCACAGAGGGAGGTGTTAGCTCCAGCGCCCGAGGGTCGGACGGTGAGTCGGGGGAGGATAATCCCAATCCTACGGATCCCAGGGGGGAATCTTGGGGGAGTTAACCTCAGTCGTGGGGATCCCTGACGGGGGGAATCACCCCCATTGCAGAGGGTGCGGGGGCTCCCCTCTCCACTCTGGGGACAGGCTGCCCCATTCACTCACCTGGGTGCCATGCGGAGCCAGATCCTACAGTAGCTGGGCTCCAGGGAGCGACGGAGGGGGGCTGAGTCTCCCGGCCCCTCCCAGTCCCTGTTGGGTGAGGGGGGGAGCTGCTTGGTGCACAGCTGGCTCCGAGCCAACCCTCCCCCACTCAACCTGTCAGCCGGAGCCCAATTAACGGGAGTCTTTCAATTAGCTCTGCCCCGCCAGACCCTGATGCCGCCACCGCAGGCTTGGCACTGCACAGGGGCTGCCAGCCAGCACCCTGCCCAGCCTGCTAGCCAGGCCTCTCCCAGCAGAGGGGGTGGAGGGAGCGGGGCTACGCCAGCCTGGCCTCTGCCAGCAGGGGGCGCTGTGCACTGCCCCCTGTCGCCCCCTGAGCTGTACGTACACACACACACACACACAGTCTCGCCCAGAGCTGGGTTCGTTGTCGCCTGCAGGGAGTCTCTCTCTCTCTCTCTCACACACACACACACAGTGCCTCTCATACACCCCATGTCACATTGTATCACAGTCACACCCATCTCTCTCTCTGTCACACACACACAGATACCTGTATTTGTCTCAGACATAGCCTGTCTCCCACATTCCGTCACCCACTGTATCACACACATATACAAAGTCACACCCCATCTCAGACACATCCCCTTGTGACTCCCATAATACATGGACTCTCACATAGTCGTACATTCTCAAACACAGTTACACCCCTTCTCACACACATCCCCAAATCTGTCCCCCATACATGGACTCTTTCAAACAGTCACACATTGTATCACATAAACGCTCACATACCCGGTCACACACATCCCTGTGTCTGTCTCTCATACAGACTGTGTGACACATCACACAGGATCTCTCTCTCTCACACACACACACACACAACCTCACATACAGTAGTGAGACACACACCGTGTCTCTCACACATCTGACAGATTAAACTACTGCTGTCCAACCCAGCTGCCCCCTATCTCCCTGCCCAGTGTGGGCATTGGGGCCCAGAGTTCCGGGGGAAGGTGATGGATGGATGGATGGAGTGGTACCCACCCCAGCATCCCCCCACTCCCTGTATCATTCACTCACTCACTAGCAGCAGCAGCAGAAGCAGCAGCAGCACCACCGGCTCCTCCCTGTACTGGGATCCTGCAGACAGGTGCAGCCTCCTCCCTCACTGCCACACCCGCCCCCGCCCTCCCTCCCCCCCATCCCCTGGGGCAGCTGTTTGCCTGCCTTCCTCTCCCCCTCCACCCTGTTAGCCCCTGAGCTGCCAGGAGCCTTCCCTGCTCCACCCAGACACAGCCAGTGCCTCCGGCTGCAGGAACTGCAGAGTGTGTGTGTGTGTGTGTGGGGGGGTCTGTTAACCCTTTGGGAGGGAGAGTATAGAGGAGGGCAGTGCACGGAGAAGGGACAGGCTGGTGGCAGCACAAGGTACCCAGGGGGACAGAAATAGAGATACAACCCTTTGCCAAAGGATTCTAAGTTCAGCTTGATTTTTTGGGGATGAAGGGGTTCCCCTTGCTGGGGATTCCTTGGGTTGGTGCAACCCCCAAGAACTTCCCCCAACAGTAGGAATTCCCTAGGTTAGTGCAACCCCCAAACTCTCCCAACACTGGAGGTGGCAGGACTCCTAGGTTCCATTCTCAGCTGCTCCACATCCCCTCTCTGTGCTTGTTCCCCCCTGCAGAATGGGGAGGGGTTGTTGTGATGTTCTTACCCTGAAATGCTGGAGATGTGCACAGCGGGTTTGGGGGCAATGCAGTGAGGAGAATCTGACAGGCAGAAAGAAGCAAACAGGGACTGCCTGGATCAGAAGCAAGGAAATTTATTCGGGTCGGGGGAGACAGTTACACACAAACCCCTGAGCAGGGGGACAGCCTCCCTGTGTTGTGCCACCTCTTCTCCACGGCACTTCAGCTGAGCCCCTTTTAGGGAGGGTGACTCCAAACTGCAGCTGCTTCAAACTTTGTGTGGGTGGACACAACCCACCCTTTGATTCCTGAGCCATGCAGAGAGAGCTTAACCCCCTTCAAACTGTGGTGGGGGAAGGGCAGAGATTCCAATTAACCCCATTCCTCAAGCTCTCCCCTTCTTTGTGTGGAGCAGCTCTGAGCCCATTGAGCTGTGGGGCACGCAGGTGGGCAGCATCCACAATTTTTAGCACATTGAGGAAGCCAGGTTGTAAAATAAATCTGAGGGTTATATGTATCCAGCTGTAGAGGGGGCGAGGAGGGACTCCCCTTCTCAGCCAGAGGGGAGGCACGTAGCAGCTGGGGAGTTGCAGGCAGCATCAGGGATCTTAGTAGCTAGTGTGGTTGGGGGGGGAGCACATTTCTGCCACCCAGGCTGGAAAGAGAATGGGAAAGAATGAAACACAGAAATCATAATCTTGCAGCCCCAGCACTGAGATGCAGCCACAGGGGTACATACAGGGGTTGCTCACCCAGCAGAGTAGATGCTCTCAGACACTTGTACCCATGTCAGGTTCAGTGGGATCCTCCTCTGGCTCAGCTCTGGGCATAAGCTGGGCCAATGGGGTGCTACCCAGGATGCCCCTCCGAAGGACATAAGGGCAGGAGGGGCCAGAGGGGATGTCGGCAAAACCTGTTGATGGAGTAGTGTGTGAGAGTGGGATTGAGTGGGGGGCTGAGCTCTGCTAAGGGTGAGCCCCCATCCCAGACACCTGGGTCCCAATCCCTCACTCCCTGGGGGTCGGCAACATTGCCAGATGTCCCCCCCACTCTTGCTCCAATGCTCTGCTGGGGGAAGGGCAGATGCCGGGGAGGGATCAGAGCCAGAATCAACACTGCACCCCCAGCCCTCCTTGCAGATCTCAGCTGCTGAGCAGGATGGAAAATCAACTGGGGCGGGGGAGAATTCCCAGCCGAGCCTGGGCACAGGGCCACAGGCTGCAGGTGGAGGGGGTGTACAGGACTCTCATGTAACCTCAACATACTCCGTTAGCACTAAACCTCCCAAATTAGGGCTTCCCCTGCCCTGAATCTCCCCCAAAATCCCTCCAATCCATATGCCCCCTCAGTCTGCAGTTCCCCTGCCCTATACCTCTTCCCTGAACCCTTCTGCTCCATAACCCGCCCCATAGTATCCCCAAAGGCTGACCATCCCATAACCCCCTGAACTGCCCCCCACACCCTAGATGGAGAACAAAGCTCCCCTAGCCTGGGGCAGTGCCCACACCATGTACCCGGTCCAGCCACCCACCACACACCCTTCATGACGACCTCAGGCAACCCATAGGGCTCATAATGAGTGTGGTCAAAGGCCACTGAGATGAACTCTCTGCGGCGCCCACCCCACACCGACCCCTCTGTCTGGGTCTGGGCATCCCGTGTCCCCGGCCAGGGAGTCTGGAGAACTGAGAAAAAGAGAAATGGACACAAATTGAGGTTAGCCCCCATGACCTTCCAATGCCTGGGCCCCCACCCATTATTCCCCTTCCCCCAAAGATTCACTCCAAATACCTGGGGCTCTAGCCCCCCAAGATTCCCACAATTGTGCAGGCCCCACCCCCAACCTGCAGGCAGGTGCCACCCCTTCCCCCTAAAGGCGGGGCATCCCACTGATGCCCAGCCCTCTTCCCATGCACTCGGGGCCAACGCACTGGTCTCACCCCCTCAAGGGAGCCAAAGCTCCATGTTCCCTCTTACCATAAGCAAGGTCCCCACAGCCTCTGTCTCTGAGGGGCACTGATGGCAGGGTGGCTGACGTCTCCTGGTATTGTCTGTCTCCCATGGTAGACATGGCACATTCTGCTTGGCCCTGGGACTGCCACAGCATCAGCTCAGTCCGCAGGGCCTGGTTCTCCTGCAGCAGGTGGGACAGCACCTCCTCCCATGGGGGAGAGACCGGGGGAGGGGACAGAGGAAGGAGACAGACCCTGTTATCCCAGTCAGAGTAGGGTTCATCCCCAGAGAACCTCAGCCTGGCTCTGGAAGTGGGGAGGCAACACCTAGACCAGTTTGGTCCAAGATGGAGGACACTGATGGGAGATGGCTCTGAGGAGGTAGAGGGGAGGGTGGGGGGACGGGGTGGGCTGTGCCCAGTGAAGAACTAAGGGCATTTTGGAAGGGGTGTGAGGTGGGGGAACCCAAGTTTGGGGGAAATGGAGCAGGAGAACCTTGGGTTTGCAGAGGAGCCTCCAATCAGGTAGTGGAGCCCACGGGCTGTATGGGGAAAGGAAGCCCTAGATCAGGCAAAGGGTGTATGGGATGGAGGGAATTGGGGGAACTTCCCTCCCACAAGCTTACTCACCTGCTTCTGCAATCCAGCCTGGCCTGCTGGCCTCTGTGGCTCCCACTGCTGTACCTGCTCACTGTGCCAAGCCTGCTTATCCATCAGCAGGGGAGGGTCTATGGAGGGATCCCACATCTTGCTAGTCACAGCCAACTCCAGGGCAGGGAGGGGCAACTCCGGGGAACATGGCAGCTCAGGAGGGGTGGGAGAGGCCAACCTAGAGGAGCCAGACTCTGGGACTATGGGAGGCAGCTCAGAGAGTGTGGGAGGCAGCTCAGGGGGGCTGGACTCTAGGACTGTGACAGATGACTCAAGGGGGCTGAGCTCTGGGTGTGTGGGGGGCATCTCAGGGGATCTTCCAGGCTCTGGGTCTGTTGGGGGCAGCTGAGGGGATCCAGGCTCTGGGTCTGTTGGGGGCAGCTGAGGGGATCCAGGCTCTGGGTCTGTTGGGGGCAGCTGAGGGGATCCAGGCTCTGGGTCTGTTGGGGGCAGCTGAGGGGATCCAGGCTCTGGGTCTGTTGGGGGCAGCTGAGGGGATCCAGGCTCTGGGTCAGTTGGGGGCAGCTGAGGGGATCCAGGCTCTGGGTCAGTTGGGGGCAGCTGAGGGGATCCAGGCTCTGGGTCAGTTGGGGGCAGCTGAGGGGATCCAGGCTCTGGGTCAGTTGGGGGCAGCTGAGGGGATCCAGGCTCTGGGTCTGTTGGGGGCAGCTGGGGGAAGCTGGATGGTGGGGCTGCTGGGAGTAGCTCAGAGGATCCAGGCTCTGGGACTCTAAGGGGCATCTCAGGGGGGCTGGCCTCTGGGACTGAGAGAGGCAGCTCAAGGAAGTTGGGTTGTGGGGCTGTGGGGGATGATTTAAGGGAGCCAGTGCCAGGCAACTCAGCAGGGCTGGATCCCAGCACTGTGGAAAATGGGGGGCTGGGACATGAGGCTGTGGGGGGCAGTTCAGAGGGTCCAGGCTCCGGGACTGTGGAGGGTGGCTCATGGGGGCTAGTGGCAGGGGTTTCCCTCCCCAGCAATGCCCCCAGCTGCCTCACCTCAGCCTCCAGCTGCCCACGTGCCCAACTCGCCTCCCCCAGCGCCTGGCCCAGGCGCTCCAGCTCCTGCTCTCGCTCGTGTCCCTCAGT